TATTTGATGCAAGACTTTTAGGGAAATTTTTTTTTTATTGATTTTCAATGTACCTTGTTGTAGGGGCAAAAATATAAATTTTAGTAAAGCAAAAAGTCAGTTTTATTCAGCATATATTCAAAAAGACAAAAGCGGGAAACAGACAACTATGCTGCTAGAGCCATGTCTGCCCAAGTCCAAACAATATTACAGAATAGGCAAGAGTGGGAAAAGGGAGAAGTATGCTGCCTCAGCCACGTCTGCCCCAGTCCAAAGACCATTACAGAGCCATCACTATATATTAACATTAGAAATGGGCAAAACCATTGAAAGCTTCACCTTTTCAGATTGGCTAGAATTTGTGATCCTACGTTTTGAATTGTCTTTCTTAACAATCATCAGTACAGTTTTCAGTGGGGTCCCCAATGGCCCAACAGATCTTCTATTCACTAAATGCTAATAGAAAAAGCTAAGAGTGGAAAGTCTTTTGTCTTCTGTTTGATTGGCTTATGTGAAAGTTTCCCTAAAAGATATTTTCCAAGATTACCTTAGCTATTGTCTTTATACCTCAGAGCCCAGTTGATGCGTCCTTGTGGCTCCTTGTGAGCCCTTTTCTAGCTGGGTCAAATTCCCTGTGCTCAAGGACAGGGAATAAATGATTCCAATATATTATGTTCTAAATCAACATGTAAATGACTCTTTTACTGACGGATAAGCATAAGGCAAGAAAGTTCTGGGACACCCTGGACTACCTGGATTCTCATTCCCCTTGCAAAATCTGGAAGCCAGCATCCTGGAAACATACATGTCAAAGTAATGGCCAAAGACGTCCCATTGTTCTTCAGATTTAGGGTATTGAGGAAAAGAAACAAAACTTGTTTTGCCCTAAAACTGGATGACACGTTTGAGGCAACTGTCATACAGCGTATAGCACTGGAACTTTCAGCTCTAGGCAAATGTATATATAGACTTCCAGACAGCGCTAACAAAAAGCATTAAAAATAGTTTTACTTTTAGAAAGGTGAGGATGGGACTTCCCAATTTAGTATGTTATGTGAAGCACTGAAATGATGTTGATATATATAGTATTTGCTGTTGTAAATTTTACTTAAATTTGTGCAGAGATCATTTGCAAGAAAAGATGCATGAAACTGCAATACATTTAATATTAAAAACATAAAATTTAAATATTCATAACATTCTTTATCTTGATGCTTAATAAGTTCAAGTATAGACAGAGAAATTTAATCAATTTTAAAACATATGGATTCAAATATATAGAAATTGTATCCTGAGAGAAAAAATGAAAAATTTATACACCTAAAAAGTAGATAATTAGTAACAATATAAGAGATAAAAAGTAAACCTGACCGTGCATTGCCTGTCAACTCCGAGAAACTCTTAAATAAACCTTTGCTTACAGATAAAACCATTTTTGTTCCTACAATCTTCATCCAAAATACGATTACTTGGCTTATACAATACACAGTTCCGTGGATTTAGATTTTGAAACAAAAATCTGTAATGAAGACAAAAATATTAACATATGAGAAAACAGTATGAAAACGTTCACGACTGATGATGTTGTTGATTAATGATAGAACTTTCAGGGGCATTTAAATGAAATATTAACACGCTGAATGATTCTTTTTTTTCATTCAATACCCATGGTTTTCAGTTTCCAGATTCCATTGTTGCACAGACCTTGGTTACTCCCTCCAGAATCAATATTATCGGGACTAGAGGTTTTCTCTCGTTGCTGTTCTTGCTGTTGTTGTTAATCATTTTGATGCTTAATATACTTCTATTGTGTTTAAAGATGTATTAACAGAGCTAATCTAGAGCAACAAATCAGAGCTTATAATTCACCATTGTAATATATGGAAATCCCATGTTTGTGAGGGAAAATAAAATTTAAAGTTTACAAATATAGAGAAGGTAAACCCAGAATATTTGAAACATTGGGCGTATGTTGAGAATTTTGGCTCCACCAGAATAAAGAAAGGAAAGCGTATCCTGCGTTATTTGAACTGCCAGGACTGCTGACTCGGTGGTATTGTGTCTGTGAGCAAGTGTGCATGCACATATCCGTGTATGTGTTTGCCCCAAGGTAAAATGGAAAAAGAAATATCAAAAGTTGTTTTATGGGAACAAACACACTAAATTTCATGAGTCGGAATCGACTCCACAGCAACCGGTTTTGAGCATGACCGTGGATGTTCGGGGTTGGGCTAAAATTGAATTGTGTTGCACCTAACCTCTTTTCTGTAATCTCACGTCCTAGACATGTTACCCTTGCTGCAGTGCTCCTGGACGTTACCTGCACTGTCTGGTCTAAAGATAAAATGACAAAGAGTAGAAAAGGCACCCGCAGGCCGCCAGAAACTTACAGATCCTGGGAGAGAGCAGAGCCGTCCTCCCACACCCAGGCGCCACGCGTTTTATTATAAGAGAGTCCAATCCAGTAAAAGCGTCCAGTAGATTTAAAAAAATCCTGCTTGGAAACAGAGACAGGCATATTAACCTAATTTGAATGTACTCTGGGAGCAGTGTACTTTTAAGAAAGTCAATGTCCCAGCATCAGAATCAGCCTATCGATTGCACAAACTGAAACCATTCTTGACTTCTAGTTTAGAAGGTACAGCCCTGTGGCTCAGATTTCTCATTTCTCAGACCCATTCACTTATGGAGGAAAAAATATCACAAAAATCTCACTCCTCTAAAGGGTAAAAAGTGTTATTATTAAAAAAAAAAAAAAATTATGTATTCCATGAGTGAAAGTTGTCATGATCGAGAATTCACAGGGAATTAAGAATTCCAGCCTGAGGTTCTCTCAAATCAACACTATCTTGACAGATACATCTGCACGTTATGACCTACTCAGCTTTTAGTCAGCTCAGTCTCTGCATACATCTAGGGCAATTGATATCTTTTCTTTATTATTGTGAGGTGCCTTCAGGTCAGCTCCGACTTGTGGTGACCCTATGCACAACAGAACAAAACACTGCTCGGTTCTGCACCATTCTCACAAAGCCGGTACATTTAAGCCCATTGATGCAGCCACTACTTCAATCCATTGCATTGAGGGTCTTCCTCTTTTTTGCTTACCCTCTACCTTACCCAGCATGATGTC